TTATTTGGCCATACAGCGCCATTATCCTAGAAATACTTAGCCAATATGCTTTAGCAAGCTCCTTTTTAAGTAAGCATATGCTCTTTCTAGTGGATTATTTATCCTCGTCGCCAGATGTAATAGATTGACGATAGAAGCATGTGGCTGTATATAAAACGTTTATTGGCCTCAACGACATGATGGAAACGAGAGAGAGGACGGAAGTGACGAGAGACAAATATTTATATACATATAAGGGACATCACTCAAGATAACAGTACAAATATAATACTAATACAAGAAGAGTGAGTTCCCTTGACTTCACAAGTCTCACTATATTACACAGCCCTAACAGTCATGTATAAATGTGTCATCTATTCAATATAGGTCTTTGTGCTAAATTTCTCTTTTGCACATTTTTCGTTCTGTTTTTTCTGGTTGCGTATTTTTCTGTTTGCGCTTTTTTCTGTTTGCGCTTTTTTCCGTTTGCGCTTTTTTTCTCTTTGCGCTTTTTTCCGTTTGCGCTTTTTTCTGTTTGCGCTTATTTCTCTTTGCGCTTTTTTCCGTTGCGCTTCTTTCCGGTCACCTTAAATTTTACAGGCTTACAGTTAATTTGTTTTGTTTTGTGTTTTAAATAAAACTACCGGGTAGAAGGTCTACATAATAATGTAGTATAACTACACAATCAGGAAGTACAAAATACAAAAATGTATAGAATATTTATATTATTTACCCCCCCCCCCGTCATAGCAGTCGATTTCTTTGCTGCCCCGTTGTAGCCTAACAACTGACGAAGGGCCCACTGATAATTCTTGCATAGGGGCCCGAAAATCCTAGCTACGCCCAGTGGCGTGCAGAGGGGGGGGGGCGGAGGGGGCCCAGGCCCCGGGCAGCCACATCAAATTTTTTTTTAATTTTAATTTTTTTTTTTTTTTTTTTTTTTTTTTTTTTTTTTTTTTTTAGGAAAGCTAAATGTCTACTAAGGTTTGTCTACCTAGGCAGAATTATCAAATTATCACAATTTGCCGAATTCACCGAAATGTGTATATACAATCAACACATGGCACTGATATAGTCATCGTACTGTTCGTGTCGTACAACCTTCAGGGAGAAAGGGGCATCGGTGAAGGGTAGTGGTGTAGTAGTCATTGATATTCCCCGAATAAATGTATGCAGTCTTTCAATTAATAGAGTATCTGATACTTGTGTAGGTAGGGGCATCTTTTAGAGAACACGCCCATAATCATTTTATACACTTGTGGTCATCCATAGAGTATTAAAGCCCATGATTATAATTTACACACGGTAGGGGCATCTTTTAGAGAACACGCCCATAATCATTTGATACACTTGTGGTCATCCATAGAGTATTAAAGCACATGATTATAATTTACACACGGTAGGGGCATCTTTTAGAGAACACGCCCATAATCATTTTATACTTTGTGGTCATCCATAGAGTACTAAAGCCCATGATTATAATTTACACACTGTAGGAGCATCTTTAATGTAATTTGCTTATATTCATCATAATACTTTTGAAGGGCATCCAAACAGTAATTATGCCCGCATTCATTTTATATATCGTCAGGGCAACTTTAAAGTAATTTACTTGTATTCACGTTTGTATTTATATAATTACAGCAATTATGCCCATATTCGTTTATATATTATCGGATATTTATTATGCTTACATTCATTATTGAATGTCTGAAGGGCATCCCTACAGTAATTATGCCCTTGTTCGCTTCATATTTTATCGGGCATCTTTATTATGTTTCTATTCATTGCATAATGTTTGTAGGGCATCCTTATTCATTTTGATGGACGTAACGGCATTCGTAGACTGATTAAGCGCACATCCTCTTGCTTTTTTCTTATTCTAATGATATTCTTTATTCATGGCCATTTGGATTTTTGTGTACGGTTAAATACAAACTTTCAAGTCCGTACTGTTTTGATACACTGGGCCGGGCCGAGTTAACTTCATTCTAAATTTGTCCTTAAGTCTCACACTTCTTAATTACCGGCATTCGCGGCCGCCCGGTCGTACTGTCCAAAAACACATAAATAAGGTGTAGCTGGCTGTCACTTGTTTCCCCCCCCCCCCCCCCCTCACTTTAGGCACAAACCTTCTATTGTAAGACCGGTAATGTAATACCTAGACGCTCTGTTGGCACGGCCAGAGATCCAGTAATGTAGTACTCGAATCTGGAGACTTTTTTTTGGGATGTTCCATCCCATAGCCATATATTTAAATGCACAGTCTGCGTGATCTTTCACCTCCCCCCCCCCCCAACTTTCACCCACCCCAAAGCCAAAGCATCTACTGTCACCCACCCCTAAACCCCACACTACTGAGCGTTCTTATTACATTTGAGAGACATTTCTCTTGGATTCTATAGCCGAAAACGGTGTTTTTCCCACAATTCGAACTAATTATATAAAGTGTCCAAATCTGTCAATGGTTTCCTATTTGTTTTAATTTTAACCACTCATGCTTGTTGATATTGTAATTTGTCTAAAATTGTGTGCTTACTAACACTGTCTCTTTATATAATATACCTAAACGCATGACTTTTATTCTAACCACTGGCCATTTAACGAACAATTTAAACCACTTTATTGCATTAGAGCGATTTTCGAATAATTTATTTTATTTTTGCTTGTGATTAAAAGGGCATTTGCAGATGAAGTAAGCCCGTATTATTTTTAGATAACTTGTAGGGGTACCCAAGAGAATTTATTCGGTTTTGATGCATATGAATATACTAAAGAATAAGAATGTCCGTATTGTTTCTGAGACACTGTAAGGACACCCTCAAGAATAAGCATCAACAGATTTTTAATATACATTGTAGTGATATCATTTCAAACAATTGTGCCCATTTTATTTTTTATCAATTGTAGGGCATACTAAAAGTTGTGTTAAAGTATTTTAATGCAAAGTAAAGTTATCTGTAAAGTAAATGGGCGCTTAAATAGAACTGATGTTATAAATAGTAGAGCCACCTGTAAAGTAAGTGAGTCCACGTTGATTTAATGAATTGTGGGAGTTATAACGACCCTGGTAGCCGTTACTGGATTAATTCCCACACAGGGTTTGCATATGAATACTTGGGGCCTAGAGCCGACCATTAAGTGCGGGCCCCAAGTTTAGCGATACTAAAATTCTATCAAACATCGACAGTGCGCACAAGCAGAAATCGCTGTGCTCTATGACTAGAATCGATATTTTCTCAATGTATCGAGTTAAGACGAGACGCTTTATTCCTACGTATCCGACTACACCTACATACACCTACATAAAATACACCTACATTGGTCAGAATACAATAGGGTATCCCAAATTTACATACCAGGTACAAGGGGGTGGAGGCGGAGGGGGAGGGGGAAGGGCTCACTCAATCAACCCATCGCCAGCCACCAAACAATCACCCGGCGACCGTGGTTCTCTTCCCTGCACACGAGGTGTGCCTCCAATGTGTTTCTATAAAATACAGCATTGTTCAAGTTCGAGATGGGGAGGGGGGGGGGGGGTTAACTTACTAGGCCTAACATCAACCGTGGCCTCAGTCGTAGCAATAAACAATGGCGAACTTTGACCTTTTAGTTTTTTTCCAATTTAATTCAACGGTGACCGCAGCCCGACCCCGGTAGGGTAATGGAAACTGTAAATTCTTTTGTTGGGCTTGGCATATAGCCCCTCCCCCCCCCCCAACATCCGGCATGTCCCCAAACTGTTTTCTCCCTCCCCGAATGAGTCAGTCATTCTTTTGGATATATATGCATGGAGTCTTCTCAAGAGTTCAGCTAAGTCAATTTTTAAAATGCTTTTCTATTCGTATTCTGATTAATAACATAATGTGTGTTATAATTTATCGTCAATAGTAGGGCTACTAACGCTTTAAACACCGTAATTTATATATATATATATATATATATATATATATATATATATATATATATATATATATATATATATATATATATATATATATATACAATTTATGGGGGCATCTTCCTTTGGTTTTGCCCCGGGCAGCAACATAGCTCTGCACGCCACTGGCTACGCCACTGAATAGGGCTGCTAAGTAGGTCACCAACGGCAGTTCTATGGCTCATGCAGGTTTTATTGAGCCGTAGAACTGTTTGGTGACCTACTTACCAGCCCTATATCGAACAATGTGGTATTCGAAGTTTACATAATATAATGAAGTTGTTCTATCATCGACTAATTTCATTTTCAAGTGCGGTCAAAATTGGAATATTAGATTCATTTAACTTGAAATAAAATTTCTGCGTTTGCGTCGATGTGGCTACATTATAACTAGTCTATAAATTTTAATAAAGTGTCTAAAATTCTGAGTCTGCATCAAATGTCATATAAATCATCGGCACGTTGGATTTTGGGTGCGGTAAAAATTTACGCAGATATCAACGCCATTTACCCACACCAAACCTACCAATCGGATGGGGGGGGGGGGGGGCTAAAATGCGAGGCAGAATTTCACGAGACATGTCGTTTTTATAGCCTTCTCTCATTAAAAACCTCGCAGTTTCGCGTCTCGCATTTTACCACGATTCCCCCCCCCCCCCCCTAGAAACACATATTTGTAGTCTAACAGCTTTTTATATACTGCGTTTTCTGATAGTTAGGTGGATAAAGGCGCTATGTTTTAATAGCCTAAAATGCTTTAAAAGAGTGCATACAACTTAAACCTAGATCTAGATGCCCATCCCCAGCCGTGCCTCAAATTCTTGTCTCATTGACTCAAAACCCAAGGGTCACTTCCTGTATAAGTTGTAATGTCCGAAAAAGGAAACAGGTACGGAACCATTCTTTATTCAGGTTTTAGACTTTTACAATTTATAGAAATGCCTGCCCCTAGAACTTATTATTGAACTAGACTACATATGTCAGCAGTGATCTAGATCTAGATCTAGATCTAGAGATCTAGATTTTACATAAAATGTTGTGTAGATCTAGACTCTAGACTAGTGACTTGTTTAATTTCATAAGATAGATTTGCATGGATTAATTATAATAAATAATTAATAATTAGGGCCTAATAGATTCTAGATCTAGAAGATTAAGATTAGTATAGCCTACTAGATCTATCTACTACTAGAATCTAGAAATCTAGATCAAGTGCAAGCAAGGCAAGTGAAATATTTAGTTTTTAGACTAGATTTAGAAAGCTAGCTAGATCTAAGCCTAACTAAGTAACTTGAACATCTGTCCGCTAAGTAATTTTATCAAAACTTAGGGCCTAATTAAACGTGTTAAAGTAGGGTTGGCTTCCGGGTTCGTTTGTTTATAATATCTCACAGCGCAAGCTCTTGAAGCGATGTACTGGCGGCGCGGTTTCGTTTTCATTTTCATCGTCACTTTTAGTAGGTTGAATTATGGATTTTTAAAAATAAAATATTCTGTTATTTCAAATACACCATTAAATTCCTTACCCCTTAAGAGAACATTTGACACCACATTTAAATATCTAGCTTACTCGGTTGACGAGAAAAGAGAGAATTTGAAAATTATTCTAGAATGGAAAATGACAGACAAAACGGCGTTCTTGGACCTCGACCGGCATAACATGACGTCGTGGACTTGTGTACACGAGCTTTTAATTCCCGCCATGGTAATTGCGTCAGTTTAGGTTATTTACTCACCGGAAAATAACAAAAAGCAACTGGTTGATAATAAAACTAGATCTAGTTATTTTATTATTTATTAAATTCTACTCTACATCTTATTCATACCATTTTATGAAATAATGAACACCTACATAAATCAAATGACCATAATAAATATTTTTATTTCAAATTCTAATTTTAAATAATAAATATGCTTCAAATAATATGATAGTAATAGTTATGATAGTTAATAAATACAAATAGGGCCTACATTTTACACTCAATTCACATTATATTGAGTCAACAGTGTGGCAGCTGAGGTTCATACTCATACATGGTATTAGTGTCTTTTTTTTTTTTTACTTTACATTTTTTTTTCATCTTGAAAACATGACGTATGTGATTTTTAAAAAAATAAAATCTCCAAACATCGTCACTTGCGTGATTGCTTGCTAACGTTTACTATCCTGTGGATGAAAAATCCCACCACGGTCGCGGGGTCACCATGAGTTCAGCAGGCCTATAGTACACGTCATAGAATGAACACCCATACACGAGATCGTCGGTGTCTTTACTCCCCCCCCCCACTTGCTTCAAGCAAATTCAAAAACAGACCTACTTCGCTACTTCTGGTCATTTTTTTTTTTTAAACTCACATAAGCTTTAAAAAAATATAGACTTAGATCTACGATCACACATGCTAGATAGCTGTAAAAACAATTTACTAAAGAGCAGTTTGATTTAGCTAGGTCTAGGACTATCGTCATGTTACTTTTTTTTTTTTTACCTGGGGTAAAGATTTAGCGCACCGCGACGCGAACCGCGCAAATGCGGCCTAAACTAATTAATACGTTTTTAAAATTATAACAGAGCAGAGCCGAATGGATACAAAGCTAAGACTAATTTAAAAACTTTATTCAATTTCAACTTGAAATAGATCTATCTTGATAAAATATGTCACGAAAAAAAAACCGATGCTCATATAAAATAAATAATTTTTAACTGAATCTAGGCCTAGCTAAAAAATAAATAAATAATAATTACGCTAAAAATGCCCGTAAATATTATAGCGCCAAAAAAAAAGGCCCTTGAACGAGCATAGTTTAAAATACGCAGGCTAACGGATGATCAATATAGTCTAAGAGTCGCCCGTAATTAGGCCTAGCTCTGAAAAAGGCCACTGAACAAGCATCGTTAGAAAAACTATACAAAATTTGATACAAATTATAAAGATCTAGACATTGACGAGGTTGTCAAATAGTAAATAGATCTAGATCTACGTAATTTTGAAAATACGCTAGATCTAGAAGCAAAATCACTTTTAAAAACTTAAGTTAGTGATTAGATCTATAATGAAATTGAAATCCACAGCTAATATGTAAGTATCTTTTGATTTAAAAAAAAAGTACGCATAGTTCTAAGAAAACAAATTCTACGGTGTACTCGATCCCTATCCCAAAATTTTAAACTTATATAATAAAAGTAGGTCACCCTAAAAAAAGAGTAAAATGGCTCCCGTTTTCACGACAGCCGTCACTCGATTCATAATTTAGTTATAAAGTTCTACTTTCTTTTGGCTATAGATTTAAAGAAATATTAATTTGTTATTTCTCATGTGTTCCAACAATTGTACCTAATTTTAATAAACATTACATTAGTAAGGACTCTTTTTTAGAATTTGCCCTTGACACTATTCAGACTATTGCGAAGAAACAGACTCGCGCAAATGTCGTGCGAAGGCTGGTTAAGTGGGCGAAGGTTAGAACCCGATTTCAGACGGAAAATTTTTACTTTGAAATAATTACATTATCAATTAATTTCGATTTAATACAAATGGCTTAATGTCAAAAGTAAATTAAAATTTAAAAACTTTGTTATTCGCAGTGTACTCAAGAATCTCAAGTTTTAACTGTTCAAATTAAAGTAAAAGACGCAATCAAATTTACTTTTTTTTTACTTTCATAATTTACAGCAATCATTTCTAATGAAAACTCTATAAAAATAATAGTTATTTTTACAAAAATATTATTTCTTACCTTATTAGTGCAGTACACGTATTTTCAAAGTAGATCCATAAGTCTAGATTTGCATACTTCGCATCCTTCGCCGCAGCACAAAATGTCATAAAAAACGAATTCCACAAAAATGTTGCTAACGAAGCTTGTAAAAACATCGCTCTATTTATTAGTATAAACAAAATCCCCGAACGATGTCTGGTTAGAAAGTTTATGAACTGCGAAGATCGAATATGCATTTTGCAATACCAATCCGTTTCCTGCCACATGCTAAATGGACACCAGCGAGTTGACGAGATTCCTTCCATAATGTTATTGACATGGAATAAAAACGTGCTTTTTAGATTTAGACCGTAAAAAAAAATAAAAAAAAAAAACTAAAGCCTAAAATTAATTTAGAAATTTAATATTTTTAGAATAAATGCTATAAAAGTTGCAAATCCAGAGAACTTGAAAATAATTTGTTGAGTTTAAGGCTACATTTCTATTTATTTTCATCAAGCCTAAGTTATAACCGGATGTTTCACTTTCGTAAGACAAATATTGATTGGCTGTACAGTAACTTAGTGATCGATAACTATTTGTTTACAAAACTTTGCAGATCAAGTTTTTAAATAACAATGCAAATTTAAAACCCCATGACCTAGTTTTCTATTTTTAGTTTACAATGTGTACAATAAAATTTATGGCGGCCTATCCAATAGCAGGATGCCATTGTTTATGTCGCCATTACACGTGAAAACAAAATTGTTTTTGCTTTTTTTTTTTATTTTTATTTAGTTAACGAAAATATTAAAAACATCAAATACATCCAATCTTCAGAAAAAACCAGACAGGCAGGATTTTATAACCATATTAATTGTAACTACCCTCTGCATGATTTTTAAATTAATTTATGGACCTCTCAAATACCTTTGAGACTTTTCACGCTGGTGTCCATTGACTTAGTTTACTAGTTTGCTAACTATTATTGATACTTTAAAAAAAAATATTTTTTTTTAATTTTTTTTTATAATTTATCAAAATGCCTAGTCTTAAAATTAGCCTAATTTAATTAGGCTAATAAATAAATAATTGGCTGATTCTGGTAGCTAAGCCAGTAAAACCTTAGTTTAGCGTTGTAAATTCCATGTGCGGTGGAGGTAATTAATGAATATTTCTTACATTTGGCCATATTTATGACATATTTTACATAGACTTAATGTAACAAATAATTGAATAACAAATCACAATCCATAACCAAACCAGTCAAAAATATCTTTGAATAAATTTTAAACTACCCTGCTCGAGACAACGAGTAGGCCGTTAGATTCAAAGCTTCCGGGTTTGTTATTTTCATGCCATCTCACAGCTCATGCGCTTACTAAAAAGGTGGCCAGTTTCACTTTCACTACGCAGTAGAGGGATAAAACTAATGATTACCAAGCCATCGTCAATTTTAGAAATTTGGAACTATCCGTTTCCATTTAAGTCTGTTATTTAAGAACTGTCAGATGTACCTTTGAACTAATTTCTTTGTCTTGCAAGTGGCGCCGTAGTCAAAGAAACTCTATGTATTCTTGTCTTTCAAATTAAATAACTCTAAAATAACGCTTTGATTTCAAACCAGCCTATGTGAATACTTAACATGAAAGCATTAATTTTACACACATTACAATTAACTGGTAGTAATTTATTGTGTTTATGAGATGTGTTACACGTTAATGATCATCACTCAATAATGGCATTTTATGATAATCTTTTTTGGTAAAAACAAGGCAAGGGAAAAAGTGTGCTGCGCAAGAATCCAATCATTTGGCTAGATTTATAACTATTTATGATGTCATACCTAAAAATAGAATGTTTACACTTTTTTCATTCATGATTGTTTTTATTATTTTTTAAACCGAAACTAGAATTATTAGTTAGATTGCAGGTTTTTGTAACTTGGTAAACTTACCCTTTATCAATTTTAAAAGCATAGAATGCTGATTGTTGCTAAATTGGCTTAGTTTACTAGTGTGCTAGCTATTATTGATACATTTTTAATAAAAAAAATCATTTTGAAATTCTCAACAAAATGCCTACAATGAGTAAATACAAGCAGCAGACATGTTTCAAAAGCAATAATAGAGTAGTCTCCTTTGAAAAATTGTCTATTTGCATGTCTTTTGTGCTGATTTTGTGGTTTAATATGGATGTTTTGTATTGTTTTAATATATGCCTGTATAGTAATTTTTTTTCCAATATAGTTGAAATGAATGACTAATAGACCTTTTCAAACTTAATAGTGTCCATCCTAGACCACAACAATTGTTGGTAGGTCGAACTTTTGAACACTTTTTTGCAGTTATTACATCAATATTAAATGGCCCATAAATGACTTCGCTCTTACAGCTTTTTTATCTATTGTATATCAATAAAGACCAGTGAGAATAATATTATAATTAGCCTAATTAAAATGTATGAAATCAATAAGAATTAACAAAAATTAATTAAGCTATAACAAATATCAAAACAATAAATAAT